AAATATATATATATAACATAAACAATAACAAAAATAGACTATTAAATAAATAAAATTCTGGGCATAAAATAAATTTAAAATGTTTAAATGTTTCAAATATAAAAAACTGTAAAAATAAATTTGATAAAGTACAAATGAAAATAAAGCCGTTTTAAACTTTTTTATGGTAGAAACAGAAGCTGCTCTACATATTAGTGACAAACAATAACAGTAAAAACAGCTTTTTGACTAGTTTAAAATGTCTTTAAAATACATTAAAAATCTTTAAAAATAAACAACAAAAATTAATTTGATGAAGTGCAAATTAAAATACAGTTGTATCTGCAACTGTATTTCGTAATGTTTTGAACTTTTAAAATATTGCATGGTAAAAACAGAAGCTGCATATTAGTGACAAACTTTGGTGTTTTTTGATGAGTTACCTTAGGTTTCCATTCTCGGCAGGTATCTAAGGTTATTCTTCTACATATTAACCAAGTTGTTAAACAACTGAGTGGTACACTAATGCTACTAGTGGTGAGAAAGTGTGTTGCACCTTATTCATAATCAATGCGGTCCCACGGCCCTCTGCGGCCCAAAGTTAAAAACTGTTGTTCTTTTGAGGCCCTCAAGGGGGCGCTCGCGGCCCACAATTGGGCCGCGGCCCATGGATTAAGAATCTCTGCTTCATATCTTGCTGCCAATTTACAAACATTCACGTTTTTTGTCTCTGATAATATTTTTTATCAGTTAAATTAAAATAAATTAAATAGTTAACAAAATAATCCATTTGAAACAGAATATCAGAAGTCGACCTCATACCTGCCAACATCTGCTGACAGCAGACCTGTTCATGTTAATGAGTAGTTATGAAGAGAAGAAGTTCTAGGAGGGTCCAGGGGTTTGTTCCCCTGGAAACATCTACTAGAAGTTTTCCAGCAATTTGAAGAGCATTTTATTAAATGCTTGGGATTATCAAAATGAGGGGTTCTCATACTTTCTCTGTCTGGGAACCCCTTACAAGAGTGAACAATTTACAGGGACCCCATCATAAACCCCACACTGTCAATTAAACCCCTAAATGACGTGGGAGTATTATGTTTGGTTTGATTTAGTATGTTTGGTTTAGTGTATTGCTCCCCATATGAATAATAAAAAAATAAAAAAAAATGAACAATTTATAGAAAATTTTTGAGGACATGGCTCGTGGACCCCAATTAGAGAACTCATCAAAATAATTTAAAATCAGTATTTCATGAAGGTAGAACACTGAAAACCAGACTTTAACCTGAACTTTACCTGACATCCTTATGTTGTTTTCTTTTTACACACTGAACACTGGTAATTAGTCTTGACTGCGTCATGTGATACTTTTATCACAAAATATCCTCTGCACTATATAGCACCTCATGTAGTAACAAAGCAGCTGAGAAATCCACAGAGCAAGTTATCTTCATAAACCAGAGTAACGACAGGCTAAAAAAAACCCTCTAATTATAATTTTAGCAATAATGCTTCGTCCCACATTTGTGGCACATCCCTGTGTCCTTTAGCCTTTGCCTACACTGTCTATATCACGAGCCAACACTGAATTCTTTAATTATTCTGAAACTCTAGTTCCCATTCGGGATTCAAGCTGCAGCATGCGCCCGAGTTGGGAATGCTCTTGGTGCCGGAGACAGCGCCAGAGCGATCTTAACCAGCAAAGTGTCGCTCAGCCTCGCAGGTCAGTTCAACGTGTAACCCAACTTATTATCTGCAACGACTCTGCTGCTTGATAGAGTTCTTGACCTCTTTTTTTTCCCAGTGACCTTTGCGGTTGTTGAAGGTCTTGTGCTTGGCTCTACCAAAACAGTGGTTGGCTTCATCTTCACCTCCGACAAGTGAGTCTGAGTCGTCACATTTCAGCAGCTTAAATGAAAAACTTTGATGATAATTTTTTTTTTCGATTTCAGAAAGATCATCGGTCTGGTCTCACATCTGATGAATGCTTATTGTTTCCTTCAGTTCTTTGATGGTCTTGTGGTGAGTTTGATTTATGTGGACAAATAATGATACAGCGTGTTAAATGCAAAGAATATGAATGCATTCAAATGACCAAATGGCAAATCTAAGTGATAAAATCAGGACTATTTGGTCAAAAGCCATCATAAATATCTCTGCAAAGCCTTTATAATCACAGAGTGACAGTCATTCAACTCATTTATGGACTTATGTCTGTGTTTTCTTAATAAAAATGAACATTTAATTATGAAGAAAGGCCAGGCAGGGGAATATCCCCCTCTGGTGGTGAAACAGATAATTTCCTGAATCCCAAACCACAGAGAGAACTCCGCCCCCTCATTTGCATATTGGACCATGAAATTAAATGCCATCTAATAGTAAAACAGCCCGAAATAGTAAAACGGCATGAAATAAAAAGGGAGTTCAAAATAAAAGTCCCTGAAATATGTAAAGTAGCTTTACAAAATAAAAGTGTCACAAAATAAAACTACAATATGCNGGCTTGATTTTTAGTAATCTTTTCCTGTTAAATAAATGAATCAAATCAAATCAAATCAACATGCTTAGCATGACAGGATTTATCAGTGACATAAAACAGCCACATTTTGATGCAGCATTTCTTACAGTGCACTTCCTGGGAATAAGGAATAAGCCTGCTGAGTCTGAGGTAGAGAGAGACTGAATGGTTGTTGCTGAAGGTGAAGAACTCGCAGACAAAGACAGACTTTCATGCTCTGATCAAACAGATGAAACAACTCACCCCCGTCTGAAGTTTGCCCGGGCGCAGGTTGCTGAAGGGGAAGACGATGACCAGGAACTTCTCTAGAGTCAGGTACGTTAAGAGGAGAACAGACACCTGGGGCAAAAACACTCAGCGTAAATAAAACAAAAGAAACATAAATGTACACTTTAGTTCACCCTAATAACACATTCGCTGACAAAGAGCATTAAACAGCCAGAAGGAATAGTCTGATGAAGATAAGTGGAGTGATTGTGTTATCTGGTGGCTGGAGGACACCACACACATGGAGACACATTAGAKAGCATCACCAGCAGGGGTGGAAATTAGCACTTGCCTCTGGCCAAATGCAGGTAAATGTACGACGTGGCAATGCACAATCACGATGCACAATCACAATGCACAATCCAATTTGCCATTTGAACAGAAAACTCTTCATTCAATTTGTATTGCTGACAGTCAGAGGCAGCAACACTCCTGAGTTGCTGCTAGTCTGCTCTGAATGTTATCAGAAAAAATAGAAAATTTAAACCGTAACTTTAGCAGATAACAAAAACTTTTCTCAGGAAGAATGGAGTGAACAACCAAAAGTTAAAAAAAATGGAACAAAAACTGACAATGGCATGGTTCACGACTCGTTTGTTGTTGATAAGAGCAGAGACAGTCGATGATTTGTTCCATCTGTCAGCTATGGAGAGCCGTTTCATTCAAAATACAATAATGATTACACATAAACAGARATCCAGTGACTGCACAGAACTCTACTTGAAAACAGACCATTTTAGTTATAGCTTGAGACAGGAAGGGGCTAGCTGCACAAAACTTTAACGCCATACATTTGGAAATATGTTTAACAATTCGGCTTGCAAAGCTCTGACCTACCTGGGGAAAAAAATTGCTATTTTTGATCTGAGTGACAAAATCAGGGCTTTAAGGCCAAAAGCCATCATAAGTATCTCTGCAAAGCCTTTATAATCACAGAGTGACAGTCATTCAACTCATTTATGGACTTATGTCTGTGTTTTATTTATAAAAATGAATGTTTAATTATGAAGAAAGGCCAGGCAAGGGAATATCTCCTTCTGGTGGTGAAACAGATAATTTCCTGAATCCTAGCGAGAACTCCGCCCCCTCATTTGCATATTGGACCATGAAATTAAACGCCATGAAATAGTAAAACAGCTTGACATAGTAAAACGGCATGAAATAAAAAGGGAGTTCAAAATAAAAGTTCCTGAAATATGTAAAGTAGCTTTACAAAATAAAAGTGTCGCAAAATAAAACTACATGTAATAAATAAATAAATAAATAAATACATGCTAAAAATGTATTATAATATATTAATTTTGTTTTATTTCATGGGGACATTTATGTATTTGATGGAATATTTATTAATACTTTCTTAATTACATTAAATTTTATTTGTTTCATTATTTATTTATTTATTGTATTTTGAATGGAACGGCTCTCCATAGTCAGTGAGCGAAGCACACTAATAAAAATGTTTTTCTTCTTCCTGCAGTGTGTGTGCACAGGCATCTTCTTGGGCGCAGGCAAACAGAAGATCCCAGCTGTTGCTAATTTCATTGGATATTACTGCATAGGGCTTTCACTGAGCATCACTTTAATGTTTGTTGCAAAATTAAGAGTTTTAGGTATTTAAAAAAACTGATGTGTTACTTTGAAATCTCCTAAAGTGGCTTTTTCAAGTGAAGCCTCATCATGTCGTTTTCCCATACAGGTTTTTGGGTGGGCCTGCTGGTTTGTGTCATTCTGCAATCCACCTTTTACATCACTGTTATCTTCAGGATGAACTGGGAAAAAGTGACAGAGGAGGTAAAGCTAATCAGAGTTATTTTGGACTGTAGAAGTCAAAGGATCTAACTGGGCTTTTGTTGCTTTCTTGCAGGCCGTGAAACGAGCACACATGTCAGACTCAGAGGGAACGGCTCATCACTCAGCTTGCAATAAAAAAGTAGGGACACAGCTAAACTCCATTTGTGTTCAAGACTTTATTTGGACACATTTTCTTACTAAATGAACCTGTAATCTAATGAACTGATGGGGAATGTGACGCTTTCACACAGCAAGCGGACGGCTACATGTCTGTCAGTACGGAGAGCCACGATGAGAGGGAGGGAGGACACGTGATCCAGCAGCTGAGAGACAATCATCTCTCTACCACACAGCTGATCATCAGGCGAGGCCTCACTATGTTTGCAGCCGTCGCTCTTCTGGCTGTCGGAGCAATCGTGCACTTCCTCGTCCCCTTACCAGACGTCCATTCTGCAGAGAGCAACCGTACCATGAGCTGGATCAATGCAACGTATTCACCTGACACAGTTTTCTTCACTGAAATGGTCACAAATGAATAACCATAAAAATTCTGTTAATTGTTTTACTCCCGTTCGTTAGCTCGCTGACAGTACGTGGTGGCACGATTGCACACTGCGATAATCAAAGGAACATCGCGAAGTTGCAAAGTGCAGAGGATATGTTTACTGATTATGCCCCATTTTCTCCTTCTGCCATCTTATCCTGCTCATCTCAACATGTGCCCGTCCCCTGTCCTGCTTTGTCCCGCAGCGCCAACATTATTATTCAGCACTGGTGGTAAAAAGAAGCAGCGCCCTAACTTCGGTGGCTCACTGTCATGTCAGCACCAGGTTTATGATGATTCCAATAGCCAGGATCTGTAGCATAACAGCCAGAGCCAGAAGCCTTCGACAGAGCGGAGTCATATTTGAGAAGCTGCATTTTAGTCTTCTGACTTCTGCAGGTCGCTCCTGACCAGCAGCCGGGTCAGCGGTGTCTGTTTGATCCAGTGAGTCCTCTGCATCCTCGGGTTGTGGACCTAGTCATTCAAATACAAAAAATCTTGTTTAAGGACGTTAGAAAGTCTGTTGTTCTATGAAAAACATGATCATTTTTGTGCATTTTTAGTTGTTTTCTACAATAACGGGGCTGTTAATTTGAAATAAAATCTCTCTTCAAACTTTATGACCTGATGTTAAACCAGTGAGTGCTRGGGTAGACTAACTGGTGCCTTTATAGTTTTATCACTTGTCAATTTTTTTTCTTCAAGAATGAATCCTTTTTCAAGTGGACCAATGAAAGAAATACAAACTGTTAATCTTACTTGTGTCGTTGGAGGTTTCACARACGCCTGCTCTGACCTGAGCCTGAAAGAAAAACAGTCATGAGTACTCAAAAATAAAGAAAAATCAGCCTTGTTTTYTAAAGTGAARATTCACCTCCTCTGTAGCTGTTTTCCAGTTCATTCTGACCAGATAAAAAATGAGGAATACACACTGCAGTGATACACAAGTAAACAATCCGGTCCACAGACCTGGGAAATATTTATAAAAAAGAATGTGACTCATTTTGCTTACTTACTTACTAATTTTGATTTAATTTAAATAAATGGATGGCTTAATTTTTTTACAGTATGAGTTGGAATCTTTACCTTTGATTCCTAACTTAGCTGCAAACATGAGTGGCACACCGACAGGAAAYCCAATCCCATAATATCCCACAATGTTGCAAATCGCTCCAACCTTCTGTTTACCTGCTCCTKTTATGATGCWARCAGAGGCAARCTATGTACAGGGAACAAAGAGGTGGTCATATTTGCCCAAAACAATGGAGAAATGTTATAAAAATGTAATCATTGTTCACATAAAATGTTAAAGATACCTACAGATATGGCATCCAGGAGGACAAATGGAGCGTAGAAAGCTACAACATCAGCAACTCTTTCTCTGATTTGTCTGAAAGAAGAAATATTTGTTAGAATTTACAAAAAAAAAAAAACTTAAGGTGTTTGCTTTCAGCACTTTATTGTATTTGACACATTATTGCAAAATGAACAGTAACTTATGTAAACTTTTGCTTCAAGTTAATGTGTAAAATAATATGAAAGCAAGGTTCACAGGTTTCTGTGAACACAATGACTAATACAGTGTGATGGTCAAAGGTCATTTGAAAGTGAATTATCTCTCTAAGAATTGAGACCAGKCTTGTACATGTGAATACAGCACACRGTGTCTTTTCACACAGTGCTTAAACATGAACTTACTCATCATATGTAAAAACGTAAGAAATGTGATCCTTCAGGCTCCCAATTAGAATCGCCAAGCAAATAGACACAGATCCTGTGGTAAAAAGTTATATGTTTAAGTTTTATTCTGCAACATGTCTGARATGATCACCTAAAACAGCTGCCTTCTACAAATTTCCTGCCAAACGAGATTTCACTAATAAGGAAAAGCTAAAAGAACAATTTTCTCTTGGCTAAGTATTCACACATTTGTTTATCTGTTTCTTTATTCTGTAAAAATTCCCGCACACTTTGTGCTATTTTAATGTCCAGCTCACTCAGGAGCTGCCCTAAATCTTTTAATTTTTTTAAAGAATTTTTTTTACGTTACAAGTATTTTATGTTAAGATACCTTCAGGTCCTAATGTAAACATTATTTCATTTTAAATCTGCAAACACCTGCTCTGTTTTCATCTTATTTTTTTGTTAATGTTTTAGTTTTTTTGTTGTTTTTTTGTATATAGATTTTTTTCTTTTTTTAATAAATTGATAAAATAAATAAAAAAGTTTTAACAAGTTTAAATAACCTTTTTATGTTAGCTTTCATCTACTATTCTGCTATTTTTTGTCTGTCTGTCCGTCCGTCCGTCCATTTTCTGCCGCTTATCCGGGATCGGGTCGTGGTGGGCACCCTAAACAGAGAGACCCAGACTTCCCTCTCCCCAGCCACTTGGGCCAGCTCATCCGGGGGAATCCCAAGGCGTTCCCAGGCCAGCCGAGAAACATAGTCTCTCCAGCGTGTCCTGGGTCTTCCTCTGGGTCTCCTCCCAGTGGTACAAGCTCGGAACACCTCACCTGGGAGACGTCCAGGAGGCATCCTAACCAGATGCCCGAGCCACCTGAACTGGCTCATCTCGACGTGGAGGAGCAGCGGCTCTACTCTGAGTCCCTTCCGGATAACCGAGATTCTCAACCTATCTCTAAGGAAGAGCCCAGACACCCTGCGAAGGAAACTCATTTCGGCCGCTTGTATCCGCGAACTTGTTCTTTCGGTCACTACCCAAAGTTCGTGACCATGGAAGAGGGTAGGAACGTAGACCGACCGGTAAACCAAGAGCTTCACCTTCTGGCTCAGCTCCCGCCTCACCACAACAGACCGGTACAGCGCCCGCATCACTGCAGATGCAGCATCAATCCGCCTGTCGATCTCCTGCTCCATTCTTCCCTCATTCATGAACAAGACCCCGAGATACTTGAACTCCTCCACTTGGGGCTGGACCTCCTCCCTGACCTGGAGGCGGCACGCTACCGGTTTCTGGCTCAAGACCATGGTCTCGGATTTGGAGGCACTGATCCTCATCCTGGCCACTTCACATTCGGCTGCGAACCGCTCAAGTGAGAGCTGGAGGTCACGATCTGATGAATCTAATAAGACCACATCATCCGCAAAAAGCAGAGATGTGATCCTAAGGTCACCAAAAAGGATCCCCTCAACACCTTGGCTGCGCCTAGAAATTCTGTCCATAAAAGTTATGAACACAATCGGTGACAAAGGGCAACTTTGGCGGAGTCCAACTCTCACCGGAAACAAGTTTGACTTACTACCGGCAATGCGGACCAAGCTCTGGCACCGGTCATACAGGAACCTAACAGCCCGTATCAATGGGCCTGGTACCCCATACTCCCAGAGTACCCCCCACAGGAGTCCCAGAGGGACACGGTCGAACGCCTTCTCCAAGTCCACATAACACATGTAGACTGGTTGGGGGAACTCCCATGCACACTCCATGACCCTGCTGAGGGTGTAGAGCTGGTCTGCTGTTCCACGACCAGGACAAAAACCACACTGCTCTTCCTGAATCTGAGATTTGACTATCTGACGGACCCTCCTCTCCAGAACGCCCGAATAGACCTTACCAGGGAGGCTCAGAAGTGTGATCCCCCTATAGTTGGAACACACTCTGTGGTCCTCGTTTTTACATAGGGGGACTACCACCCTGGTCTGCCAATCCAGGACAACTGCCCCCGATGTCCACGTGATATTGTAGAATCGCGTCAACCAATGATACCCCACAACATCCAGAGCCCTAAGGAACTCTGGGCAAATCTCATTCACCCCCAGCGCCCTGCCACAGAGGAGCTTTTTAACCACTTAGGCGACCTCGGCACTGGAGATTGGAGAGTCCGACCCAGGGTCCCCAGGCTCTGCTTCCTCATGGGAAGARGTGTCGGTAGGATTGAGGAGGTCCTCAGTATTCCGCCCACTGACCCACAACGTCCCGAGTTGTGGTCAGCAGCGCACCATCCCCACCTTTAATAGTGTTGGTAGCAAACCTCTTCCCCCCAATGAGATGCCGGATGTTGGACCAGAATTGCCTCGAAGCCATACCGAAATATTTTTCCTCGACCTCTCTGAACTCCTCACATGCCCTTAGTTTTTGCCTCAGTGACCACTTGAGCTGCAATCTGCTTGGACTGCCAATACCTATCAGCTGCTTCTGGAGTCCCACAGGCCAAAAAGACCTGATAGGACTCCTTCTTCAGCCTGACAGCATCCCTCACTGCCGATGTCCACCAGAGGATTCGAGGGTTACCGCCACAAGCACCGACAACCTCACAGCCACAGCTCAGGTTAGCCGCCTCGAAAATGGAGGCACGGAACATGGCCGACTCGGACTCAATGTCCCCCACCTTCCCCGGAATGTGTTCAAAGTTCCCCCAGAGGTGTGAGTTGAAGCTCAGTCTGAAGGAGACTCTGCCAGACGTTCCCAGCAGACCCAAATGTATAGTGAGGGTCTGACCGGCATCCTCCCCCACAAACGGAGCCAACTCACCACTAAGTAGTGGTCAGTTGACAGTTCCGCTCCTCTCTTCACCCGAGTGTCCAAAACATGCGGCCGCTGATCAGATGAAATGACAACAAAGTTGATTATCAAACTGCGGCCTAGGGTGTCCTGGTGCCAAGAGCACATGTGGACACCCTTATGTTTGAACATGGTGTTCGTTATGGACAATCCATGATGAGCACAGAAGTCCAATAACAAAACACCGCTCGGGTTCAGATCAAGGGGGCCTGTTCCTCCCAGCCACGCCTCTCCAGGTCTCACTGTCATTACCCACGTGAGCGTTGAAGTCCCCCAGCAGAACGAGGGAATCCCCATTAGTAGCGCTCTCCAGCACCCCCTCCAAGGACTCCAGAAAGGGTGGGTAATCTGAACTGCTGTTAGGCGCATAGGCACAAACAACATTCAGGACCCATCCCCCCACCCGTAGGCGGAGGGAGGCTACCTCTCATTCATCGGGGTGAACCCCAACGTACAGGCAC